CCATTTTGAGTGGCCGTTTTTTTTACAAATTCCATCTTGGTTCCAGTTTTTTTCCTGAATTCCATTTTTGGTTGTTGGTTTGCGAGGTTTATTTTCGCGTCAGAGGTCGCTTTCAGGCCAAATATCTAGTGATCCTACACAACTCAGATTCTCTCCACTGTGGATAACCGCAGTCACACGTGGGTTGGTGTCTTCTCTTCCACTTCCCTACACTTCCGAAATCATCAATTTTCTCCAGCTGATAGCGTGTAGCCGGGAAATCATCTTCGTGTCGATTTTTATCACCTCATCTGTTCGTCCGAGTTGAATGAGTTTGTTCCAACACCGCCTCTCTCTCTCTCCAATGGACGATGCATGGAGTCGAATATCGTCGAAAAAGAACTATTTTCAGGTTTCGAACTTACGATGTTCAATCACTCTTATTACTTAAAACAGTTTGATACGCCTCACACTGACCAGCTTCAGCAAACTGACATCATCTTCCATGTTTCCAACGCTTGCACTCGCAAACTCATGAGGCACATTGGATTTTTACTGTAGATTAAAACTATACAATTAATTTCATCGTGTACGGAACAAATGAACCTTGCACTAAAATGCGGAGAAACACTCGATAGTAGTTTAGACTTCATTAGGTCTCATCAATATCGATCCAACCGAGGCTCGAATCCCAAATTTCACAGATCGATGGAATACAAGCATACTACCTAAATAACCATCGCGCAGGTGAACGGATCGTTCATCATTTTGCCTATACACCATATACAACATATCTCTGCCAACTTGTTGTGAGTATACCACCTCGAATCTCAGCAGTAGAGTCCTGGGGTTATGACTCGGGTTGGAACTATTCTCAGGTTTTATCCTTTTTAGGTGCGATGGATTCGCATTGCTGATGAGACCCAATCAGGTCCAAACATCTACACGGTGTTTTCCAGCTCTTCTGTTTGTGTTTCATGTGCATGACGAAATTTCCCGCCAGATATAATCGAATCACAAACTCAACTACTCTGATGGACGTTTTTCTTTGCTATAAGCATTCTCGTTTCGTGATTTGTTTGACACACATCGTGAACTCAGACATGTGTGAAACAGCACAATACATAATACTATTCTCATAAGGAATACGATTATTGCGTAACGAGAAAAAAAAGATGCACCAGATGTGCCAGTGGTTGCGAAAGTCTAACACAAAGTTGACCATTCAGTAACAGTCAGAGTGAGACACCCCTCCTATGGGGACACTGTCCACGGAGACTGTAGCGGACAGTTATTTTCAGATTGCAAGGATAGGCCACTGAAAATTTCTTGTGTGTCACGATGTAATCAAGACCAAACACACACACATGGTGTATGGTGACGGATAACATGTACTTCCTGGTGGCGCACATGTTCCGATGATCACCACCAGCAGCAGCACTGTGCTCAGCGCGTACAAAAATTCTTTCCCTAACCGGAATCGAGTGCCTATTGTGGAGAAGACAACGATCTAGTTAATTTCACTCTCTATTACAGAATATTTCATGCTATTCGGAAATTTTCCTTGGAATAGAAAAACACCAAACACATACACACGCATGCAACGGATCAACTAGGATACGATATGATCTATGCAAAGAAATCGGACCAGTGCTAGTCTATCGTAGTGGGACAACAGCAACGCCAACAGCACTCAAGTATCGCAAGGTATGAGGTTTCCACAGAACAGAACAGAAGATGATCAGTGCCACAGACCACGCCAGTTGTGCCACACGGGGGGTGGGTGGGTGGTTGTGAGTAAATATGGTTTGGAACTACAAAAATGGCCAAATGCTGAAAATGCTCGTTCATGACATCACATCAAATGCATTGACATAAGTGTATCGGAGTTAGTTGCGGCTAACGGTATCTCCGAGGGGAAGCGGTCGATCAAAGGGCCGCCCCGAACAAGAAGTGGTGCCGCCTTTGAACGACAAACAGAATCATCCGTAGCAAGTTCGAGATACTTTAAGTTAGTGTTGGATTCAACGAACTAGAAACTGTTCCCGGCCAAGGACGGCTACACAGCAAAGGCTGTCAATAGCCAAATCTGTCACAACCAGACGCCGAAAGAAATATGCGTGTGGTGGATTAATAAGCATGCGTACATCGCGCATACTAACCACCGCTGATAGACTAAAAATTGAATGCATGTGCAACAGATCATATCTCAACCGATTGAGATTTGAGCACATTAGACTATAACTGAGTGGCTTGACAAAGGTCCAGAAGGTTTGTTTTTCTGGCATGAACCAACAAGTCTTTCAAATAGCTGATAATGTTTGTATGTCGATTGTGAAAAGTTCAGTAGCCTCGGTGGGATTCGAACCCACGTATGGACGCCGCGTACGCTTTGTACGCGCATGCTCTACCAGCTGAGCTACGAGGCCACACTGATAGCACTGATCTTTTCACATTCGAATTTACCAATCCAACTTACACAGGCATGTGGCATCCACCAGTTAGCATGTAAGCTGACTTCCCCGACAGGTATTCCTTAGAATTCACCGGAGTCCACCGAATGAGCTTCTAAGACAAGGTGTGGCCTCGTAGCTCAGCTGGTAGAGCATGCGCGTACAAAGCGTAGG